TCATGCGCCTTCTAGGAATCACGTCCATCTCAAACAATGACTGAATCACAAAAGCAAGAAGCTAAAACAAAACCTTACTAACCATAAAAATATGATGCAATCTTGGGTGATGTAACGACTAGACATGCGCAGTTATTACATCGTCTGATTGACAGACAATGATGAAATATCTATTCCCAAAATAAAATAATAAAAAAATGCAAAGCGGCAGCTTTCATGTATAAAAATATGATATTCAAAGAAAAAGAGACACAATCGTAGTTTGTTTCAATTAATGTGCACAAGGATGTAGATCACTGGTTGCTGCTGGTAGAACCATCGTTTGGTTTTGTGCGACACTAGGAGTGTTGTAGATACACAGGGACAAGAGTTTCTTTAGCCCAGCTTCTGCATTGAAAGTCCCATTTGGTGAAGCTGACGGTGCTCCAATAGAAACATGGGCCCGTTACTTACTGGAGCATGTGAGAAATGTAACCGTTAGTGAACAGCTGCTTCCGTTTCTGATCATGTCCACCAGTTAGTCGTGACCAATACTGGAATTGCGCGATGCACTTTACGATAGCAATTACCATACCTGCATAAGGGTTTGCGGTTCGTACAGAATCGCTTGATTAACTTTTGCTGATACATCACCTTGTCCTCACGGATCAATTTCACACAGAAGTTAACCTGTGCCTGGCATGTTATCTAGATTTCGGAATTCGAAGAGTCCTTTGGATCCCTTCATGCTTTGTCCCTCAAGGACTTGCATTTATTTGTTCCACTCCTCGGAACTGACGCGTTTCCTTTGACAATGGTAAGATTTCTCTCCCGACGAGTGCATTACCAATTTGCTAAATGCCCTTGTGAAGGTTTCCCAGTAGAATATTTTGGATATACCGCAAAGAAGGTCCAAAATGGTTCGTAACAGCTGCAGACAACAAGTTGTAGTGCGTGACCGGATGCACTTTATCATCCTCTTCTTCAGGATGTTCCTCATAGTGTGGATACTCAAACAATGCACTAACGTGGAATTGGGAACCAATCATGTGCTTATAATTATTGCATAAGTCATGAGTTCTTTGTTGGTGAGCCCAAGGTCACAGCCTGTCAGTAGTTCGAAATCTAGTGGAAGTCCCGGTGTTGTACAGAAGGCAGCTGAAAATTAGCTATTGCAAACAGGCTTTAAAATGCATGCTCTCGGTTGCCACTATATTCAGGTCGGGCACCTTCTGATTGTCTTGGATGAGGACATGACTTTAAGACTTGTTCAAAGCAACCCGAAAAACTGGGTTCAGTTTGGAGTACATTGCACACGTGGTCTTTGGTGGACGGTAAATTACGGCTGCACCAAAGCAAATCAAAGTCACGGGTTGCTGGGTGACAATAAGTTCATATCAGAGGTTGGCCTTGTAATACTGTACTACATCATCACCGTCACAGTTTCATCTTTCCGAAGCAGCGACATACCAGGTTAAATGACCTTAGAATCAGCTATCTCAAAGTTTATCTAGGTCTCCGTAATCATAATGAGCTTGTGCGGTTGTGACGCCTAGGCTTCTCTAAATTCGACCAACGCATTTAAGCTCTAGTATACAAACAGGATAGTGTTTCTGATGTTAGTGGTGTGTTGGTGGGCGTCAAGCTTTTGTTTGGTTTAAGCTGACCGTTCGGCCGTCCGTCGCTAATCGTGTTTGCTTGGGTCGCTGGCACTTGAATTTCGATCAGGCTGCATGGTAGCACAGAAGGTTCCATATCGCGATGTTCTCTCGTGCATCTCTTTCTTGTCCGGTGTTTTGAGTTCACTAGGTCTATTCCTCTGCGTGACTACGGAAGTAAAGGTTTTACTGAGGTTGTGTGTTCCAACGATTTGATAGCTAATCGTGGCTGTGCGCCGGCTATCTCTACCTGAATCTCGGTTGACAATCTAGCGCGTTACTTTAGCCAGCTATCTGATAGCACTATTCTCATTCCTTCGGAGAGCAGCATCACATGCAACATTTTTAGACTGCAGTCCGTGCAGTTTGGTGATAAAGGAATTCTCATCAACGATTCAACGATAAGGTCGTTTAGAGTGAGTGCTTCGCGGATGTAGCGCCACAGCTCTCGGTTATGAGCGTGCGCTTCTTGATTAGAAGAACCCGGTTGTTCAAGAACACCTCGAACAAATATAAATAAATAAATAAAAGTTTTATTCGCTGCAGTGCGAGGCACGTCTGCAAATGCGTGATCATGGTGAAGCACGTATGGTCGTTACTTGTACGAGGATGTCGTACGTTAAGCAGCAACATACTGGAGCTCTGTATGTATGCATTTATGTAGGTATACGTGTAGCTGGACATGGTGAGTGGATTTATTAATGTGACGCTGAATTCGTGATTTGGCCCGCTGTATTCGCCATTGTATACAGCGATCAATGAAACTTTCCGAACTGGATGACGTTCGTGAAGTGGGAAAGATCCTCCGGAAAGGGGAGATGCAGTGGTTTTATTTCGTGGCGAGACACATCCGCCACGTCGCAGTCTAGTTAAGCGCACCTTTAAGGCATTTGTAGGGAAAGCGCTTACCAGGCAGAAACCCACCATGTCCTGGAACACTGCCACCGAACTATTTGCTGGAATGGGATTTACTCGAACCAGTCACCTGGTCCCACGAGGTTGTTCGTTTGCAGAAGGGCCGCCGTCGTTATTATTCTTCTTTGACCACCCTTTTCAAGGAATATCTGGTGGTATGCGTACCCCGCTCGATAACTTGCAAAGACGAACTGCTAAGAGTATGATGGTCGCTGTCTCCTCTTTTGAGTTTAATGTTATTCGAATAAACCAAGGTTCACCGTAGTGCACTGGATTTGGATGCCGCCTTACGCGTCTCGTCAGAGTGGGCTCATCCCGAATACCAGTCACATCACGGTGTAACCAATCAACACAACTGAACTTCGATGACTCCACGAGCCTTGATGCGGAATGGAGAAGTGCCTGGCATCATACATGCCCGGATTTGACCTACATCATTTTCTGTTACGAAACGGCTACTGCCACGGCTACTGTCACCGTGACTGGTGTTGAGACGTTAGCACATAAGGTGCCAAGTTTGGTGAATACCGCAGCAAGGGTACACCTTTGGCCGCAAATCACAACGGTATGCAGCCATCAGTCACTGGCTACTGACTCAGCCGCACTGATATTTGGTCTTGGTAATACACTATCCAGACTGAGCTTTAATGCACAGAACGAAAACTGAGCTCTGCTCGAATGAGACCAACTCAGCTGTGTAGACCTCTGGTCATAGGTCAATAGGTCAGGGAAACTAAATTCAGAATCGACATGTCATCTATACCCCAAGCACCTACGCAGAAATAGTCGTTCGTGGAGCCTAACGTTGCGCTTAGCAAGAAAACAACAATTTTTTGCGCAGTGCCCTCACCTAGTACTCGGAATGATTAAGACGTTTGCCAGCGTTAATGGAGGCCTGAAAGGCGACAGTGTTCAAAAATCCAAGCGAGTTACTCGAAAATGATACCAAGTAGGTGGTCATATATCTTCCGTTCTTTGTCTAATACTCTCCCTGGAGCACACCATTACCAGTTAGTGTGTAGAATGAGACTTTCCCTTCGGCTATCTGAAGTGCGTACATATCAAGTATCGCAGTATTAATGTATGCCATCTGCAGGTGAGTTTCGAGGACAGGTTATTACCCAAAAGCAGCAAGTTGATAAAATCGGCGAAGTGACTTGTTAAAGGTGAAGAGAGTTGCGTTGCTTGTTGGACATCTCAGTTTTTTAATCTATGATTGAATTGCATAATCCGATCCCGATTGCAATTTTTTGCTCTAACTTCGACAACACAGGTGTTATTGCTAGCCTCTTATGTCCCTTCTAATGCTTATCTACAGTAGTTTTGCCTCTTCGTCCGATATAGAGAGCGATGATAAATTTGCAAACGGCTTACTACAAGTATGGGCAGCGCTTTCCTGAGGAATTGTTTGAATAACGTCTTCACACCCCGGTCCCAGATCAACGCACCATTTTGTTTCGGTATCATTAACCTGCCTGTTTTTAAAAGAACTTAGTTGGCTTATATTTAATGTCTTTGTGATGCGAAATTAAATCGCAGGCTGCATCGTACATCACCACTACCGTTCAACTCGATCATTTCCGTCACTAGGGTAGTATTGAAGGTAAGTCTGCTCGAAGTTCTTCTAGACTATAGTTTTACTGGAACGCCCATTCCTAATTTGAAAAGCAGTCTTCCAGTAATAAGCCCTAATCCAACAAATATTTGAGTACATATGCTCTTATGTGCGCGTGATGGTTAGACCATCTTGGCATCCTTCCATATAGCAAACTGCGGTTATGCTGCTAGTGGAATTTAATTGAGGGGGATTTAATTGGGTATAATTCGCGGTAATCATTCAACATATGCACAGCAGTTCGATCGGTCACTGCCGGACAACCGATAAGCAAATGCTAACAGGCTGGATCTTTCTACCTTCGACTGGCGAATGATATTGACATCAAGCTGATGGGTAGAAGACCAAGGGATCTAGACAAATTCCCAGAAATGAACGGCCCCAGCTGAAAGAATCTGGTTCAGTACCTGCGTGCGAAAACGCAAAGATAATCACAAGCTCGGAAAACAACTAAGTCACATTCGGTTATGCAGTTTGGTAGTGTCCCCACTACCTAGGCTCATTTGGTCCGCATGGTTTCAACTGAGGTTCATTGACACCGTTCCCTAATTCTAATGTCAATTTATTACTGATTTGGCGATCTAACCCTATGAATCATGGATAATTCGTTTCATAGAAAATCTGGTCGGTTTTGCTGAGTTAAAAAAGGACTATACCTCATAAGTGAATTCTAATAATTCTCAATAGCCTAAGAAATGTAGCAAAAACCGACAGTTTGTCGAGTCCCACTCCCCTAGCCAAACCATCGACAATACAAATCTGAAATTCAGTTGATTTACACCTTAATCTTTTTAACGCTCTATAATTGCACCACAATTTCATCCGCCTTGCAGTGGTGTGCCAAGTGGCTCCCTCAACGCGCCCATATCCAGGAGGGCTCGCCTCCGACGCGAATGTACCGTGGAGAGTACGTCGCAGTCCAGTGCGATTAAGGCACGCTTTGCCGGATACGGGCAATACTGTCAGGATGTTGGTTCCATCGGTACCGCGCAGCCGGGCAATTCGCTTGATCGAATGGACTCCTCTGCAAACTACGCCAACTTTGAGCCTCGAGACCTTAAGCAGAACAATACGCAGTGGCTGGAAGTGCCGGAAGAGCTGCGTTTCACAACCGATCGCTTCCTGGGTTAGTGAACAGTTTCATAATACAGCCATAAACCAGTGGTACAATAGTATTCTCTTGAATCAGTAGATCAAATAATGTAATGCGATAAGCAAACAGCGTACAAGGTCGTTATGTTCGGTCTTTCTAGTGGGATGATGACGAGCTTGCTTGCTCTTACATATTGCTTTCCGTGAAGTTGTGTGATTTACAAATTCCGACAATCATTTCGATTTGTCAGGAAAAGATATTCCCAACTACACCAGTACATCAAAATTAGTGGTGCGGACTAGCTCCGAGATCCATATACCCTTTGCTCATATTTCTTATGATGGCTAAAACGTATGATTTAGGGAGATAGTTTTCTTGTTATCAGTTTAAGGCTTTAGATAATTTCCAGGGTCTCCAGAAGATTGCACTGCCTAATTAGTTCCCTCCGATTAACAGACGGTGTGACCAAAATTTAATATGGCATAACACAGTCGAGGTAATTCCATATACACCACGCTCACATGACCTCAGCACGCAGTCACCGGTAGCATGCACTAAACACGCAGCGAAGCCTTGGATTTCAGTGGGGTGCTGCAGACCTCTGACTGTCACCGTTGGCCGATATTGTGGTGCATTAGTGCTGATTGACCACATTTAATGGTGTTCTGACTGGCTGTGTGCGCATAAAATTTGTGAGCGAAATAATGGAACTAATGGGTCACTGCCGTCAAACATCTTCTCAAGACGCTGACATGTTGAGCGTCATTGCTTAACGCAGACTCACCCCCCTCAAACATCCGGAATTGTTCAGTAAAAGGACACCGAAGTCGCGTAGTTTTCACAGTTTATCAGTTTAAGGGTGGTGGTAGTGTACTGAACCGTACTGTATAAGAGAACTTTGGGAAATATGGTGCATTTGATTGTTAACTTGGAAATATTAGTAAGGTCGTGTTGACGCACTTCACGATCGCTTGCTAGGGTTAAAAAGGATCAGCAAGCGACGTAAAAGCCGAGGTGATAACTTTAAAAATTCAAAAGCAAAGAAAGAAGACGAAGAAAGTAATCTATGGGTATCAAGAATGAACCTCCAATGGGTAGCTGATGTGTCACGATTTTGAACGCCACTTGCGTCGGGTCCGAGGGTAATCCTTGAATTCTAGTGCTTTCCTTGTGAATACTATTGGGTCAATCGCTAAGTTAGGCCAATTTTGTCATAACGGGAGAACGTATACAGACCTGCCTAATTTGATGCGACCAAACTGACAACTTCGAAGAGTCCAAATGGTTATCAGTGGGCCCAATTCCACCGTCAGTGATTCCGGCCCGGCCATCGCATGCAAATAACGCACTCATGGTACACCAGAGAGATGGAAGTAGGCAATGAAGATCCAGTGCAATACAAAAACAATTGTTTAACTAGCCCAGCAATCGACCGAGAATGGTATCTTCAGTGAGCGTAGAACACAAACTGTGGTATTTTTGACAATTGGTTGACGTAGTATGACCACTTTTTGGGAATGAGAGTAATCCTCTCTTTTCCACAGTGATAGAAAACATTTTCTGTCTAGCCATCCCAGACAAAGAGTAAACATGGTATTGGTTGGCTCCTCACAGCTGTTTACATTTTCGTGATCGCATAGAGACTACAAATTCCCAGGCTCCACTTCTGTGGTCGACGAGATGTGAACTTAACTTCATGTCGAATTATTAGAACTAGAGTGGTCATTTTAGCCTGATATTATGTAGAGTGCTCTGAATACAAAACCGCAAAATATTTGCCGCGTCTGTTACTGTCCTGTGTTGCACCTTCTGGGAACGGTCCATAAGATTGCACTGAAGTTTGAGTCATTGCTAAAATTTCCATGCTTATTCTTGTTGATATGCCACTCCGGTTTAGCAAACCCAGTGTACACGGGTTATTCGGCTGAATCATCTGTGCAACAGAAGCATCTGGACTTGGAGGGATCTTGTCTACTCCTCTCATAACTATTACTATGAACACAGAATTTGATGTTCCGCTCCTCAAATGAGGGCTTAGTCTGGAGAACACACAATGCTTTCTTTATTACCTGTATTTACAACGGCAGAAAAAACCCATGGCGGAGTTATCTTATCGATTAATATGCCATACAAATATAGCTCTCTTGAGCCACACTAACACCAATGATTGAGCTGATCGTGTGCCTGTAAATATTTGTTAGCCTCTGAGAAGCGCATAAACAAACTACGCCATTCAAGCAACCCACCTGGAAACACAGAATGCCCAACGGTCGCATATTAACGCTCAGCTATTCTCGTAATTGCGGTGTCTTAAGTCAGTCTTGACGAAGCCATCCCTATGGAGTTTTTAAAACAGTTTTGTGCAGTAATTCACACACATATTGTTTCGTTGTCTCCAAACATAGGACCAGTAGACGTCTGCGTAAATGCAGGCGAAGTGAAACGCTACCTATCACCTTGTGAAACTGTCGAATGATCCGTTACTCAGTCGTATGCTCACACTGAATCCACAAAATATGGTGCTCATAGATTTACCGACCTAATTGTTTGAAACATTAGGACCAATGCCTATGCGGAATGCCACACCTTTAACCGCAAATTACTAAAAACCTTCTAACTGGTTTGTCTTTCGAAAACCACTGTTAAGTGAGCAAGTAACATTCAAACCCGTTGGTTACACAGCGATGCGCATATCGGATTCAGTAATGACGGAGATTAGACTTTAGCCACTAGTACGAGGATCCAAATGTGACCGATGTCGGATACCGACAAAATCATAGTAGCTATCAGTGCGTCAAATTTGCTCACCAGATAACTCTGTCCGTGGCACATGTATTAAGTTGGCAGCGTATGTTCTGCAACCTAGAACAATGTGTCTCCTTCATAGTGCCGAACGTTAATAAGGGAAAGATGTGTGACCTACAGCAGCAAAACTGATAGCCTTCTTTAACCTCATAGTAGGCGCGTTAAGCGGACTACGGTGCCTGTCTAATCCAAGTACTTAAACAAACCAGGTTCTTGAAAGCGATCAGGTTTGGTGAGAAGTCTCTCTCCACAGTTGCACAGCTCACAGTAATCCCAGACCGAGAATTGAGTTGGCGGAATCACCATGTACTGTTGAATCCGAAAGCGAGAAAATGGTTAGAAGAAATGTTAGAACTACTTTTATCCTTCCTATAACCTTGCGGGGCCAGAGACAATTCTTTTACAGGCTATATTCTCTGAAGTAAGTTGCAAGACAGTGTTGTTGTCCGTTTGTAAGGTACACCGCAAACGACCTTGATGGACCCCGTACTTCGTACACACTAGGCATGAGCTGATATGGTGTTCTCCATTACTTCGCTTCCAATTGCGAATCCCTGAAGCTCAGCTATTTGGTGGGTGCAAGTAGGCGGCAACGCGTAATGCTGCCTGGATAGTAAGACTGCTATGGGAACTGTAGCATGTAGAATCATGGTTTAGGGTCATCGTCGTGTGGGTAGGTTTCAACTTATTCCTCCATGTCAGCATGGAGCTGTGTAAGGCGGTTACACACAGCTTTCATCCTGGTAATACCATACCAGCCCATCCCGTCTTCCACTTTATTAGTCTAAAATCAAATTGTTTTATTAACTCAGGATCTGTTATGCCTCTGCGAGTAGCTGCATCAAAAGCCTCAACATGATTACGTCAAAGAAGTTGCACCAGTCGTTTCCAATTGATATTCCCCACAAAGAAGTTGTTAGTGGAAGTCGTGTTCTCGTGGTCAATCCTGTCCTCTGCATCGTTCGAAACCTGCGTGGCAGTTGCGGATGAGTTGCCCTATAGCACAGCTAGCTTGTAAGTCATGCTGATTCGCCGCGCTCTTCTATGACGCAGCAACATATGCCGCTTGCTGGTGGAGCAGACCGCCAGTGGTCACAGGCTCGAGTCCATTTGGAGTCGAAGGATGAGCCCGACTGACAAAATCCAGTGGGACGAAACCGCCGTCTGGTGCTTCATCGGGCTTTTAGTGTAGTTTCAGAACTTGGGTCTGTTATAAAGAACCATCAGCGAGTGAAATATCGTACTTATTACTAAGCTCGTTTATGTGAGGCTCACGCCGCAATAGTTCTGTGAGCCTAATGTGAATGCAGGTATACATCAACCGTCAGTCAGAGAAAAGGATCTGACAATGAAATCCGCATACTGCATGCTATGGTCCTACGTTAAAGTAACTTGCCTTTTTATTTATCGTGAAAAGCTTTTTCTTTGTGGTACTCGGAAATAAAACCCGGTTATTGAGTTTGATAGACAAAATCCGGCAAGTTCTGTGCTTGATCTCAAGGTTTATCCCTCTGCGATTCTTCGAATACTTGTGTTTTTCGTTGAATTTGATTGCAGTGTTTAGACCATTGTGCATTCATTTCTTCAGTAGCAAGTGCAGCAGGTATATGAGAGTAAATGTGCCTGGGAGGCTGTCGAATGCATTTAATGCAACCACTCACCTGGCAAACTGTGCAGGAATAAAGCGGCATCCGTGGTCGCATTGCAATCGGTTAACGTGAGATCAAACACAATAGACAGAGGCAAGCTCAAGTTGCCGGAGTCGGATAAGGAAAGCAAGAAGGTATAAAACAAAGCTTGCCAAGGTATCCTTTATTCATTTGTTCTGTCTTCGGTCCAAATGAGTGATTACCCTTGTCGATTCGGTGTGTTATACAAACGCCGGTGGAGTTGGCAACGTCAGAAACTGCGACAGTCGTCATCTTTGATCTGTTCTTGGTAGGGCAGACAGGCACACCAACGACAGAACGTTCGCTGCTGCAAGAGTTGCTGGTTGATCACTCCTGCGCAATCTGGTGATTAGTGTCGAACCAGCGTTGTTGACACATTTGGTCCACTTTTCGATCAAATACAGCACTATCACTAGCCACAATATTCACTACACTGCGTGCGTCGCACCGTGCGCACTACTTGCTCTTTTAATTTGCTGAAAATGAAACTGGCCAATTTCCGCGGTCACTAATACTAAATCATTCATCGGTAGGCCATTTGTATTTATTACATATTCCTTACAACAAAATGACAACCGATGTTTTAAAACATTTTCTAGTTCGTAACGGGTTCATTCAATTTGTCCATTAGGTCGCACTCTGGTCCACTGGCTTTGCAGTCACTTGGCACGTAACGGCCTTTCTTGGACACACAACTTGATCACCTCAGTCACACATATTTGCGACTGTTTGTTGCGGTTGGGAATCCTACAACCCGAATGGAGTCGATCCCTTCGAACCCCATATGTGTTCAATGATGAGCGTGACAGGGATGCGATGAGTATGTACAGACTGCCATCTACTGAGAGCACACCTAGAGGCAATGGAATCGGTCCGGCGCAAAACTCAAGTTTGAGTGCAAAGTACCCTCAGGAGGACCAGTTCGATGTACGTCAACGTGAAGTTGTTAAAAGGTTTTTCGGGTTTGTGCGGTGAAGTTCGCGACTTTTAATGTGTGCGTGCACAGGACGTAGTATTTAATGCAAAACTGACTCCTACAAAGGTGCTGAAATTTTTTCGTCATATGTGAAATCCAACGATCTACCCTGACCTCATTGAAGCCCTTCATGTTCTTGTTGAAGCGTAGTTGATGTCAGCATAGCGCAACACGGCGAGCGACGCTTTCGCTGGTCCGAAATTATAGCAAAACTGGGCACATTTTTTAATGTCACGCCAGCAGCGATCATCTGAATTATTTACCTGTGCCGCCTCTATTGGTTTAGCTGCTGATGTGCGTAACAGTCAGTAGTTTTAGGTTATCTTGAATGAATTCTCAGTACATACAGACTGACTTATTGACTCACTTATCTGCTTGCTCATTTATTTACTCCTTTGCGTAAATAGTTACTTACTTGCTTGCTTACTTGTTTACTTACTTATTTACTTGCTTACTTACTTCACATACTCGATTACCCAATTTCTCTATTACGTAAGTACTCACTTACTTGCTTACCAGCTTACAAACTTACTTAAATGTGTGTTTACGGACACTGAGATTCGGACCTTAGCCATGTTCGCGATTGCAAGCTACCCCTTCAGGAGCTCATGAACATACGCTCTCAGGGATACTTTTTCGGCGTCGTTACTCCATTACACTGTGTGATAGCTTTAGTACCCATATAAACAGGACCACAAATCCTTTCAACGAATGCTGTTATGTTTGAAACCCACTGTACGTTATAGTGCGACACCGATGATGCGTTTTTTTAAAGACATGCACTTTCTTAATTGCACGGGTGCTCACTGAGCTTGATGATTAGTTTACCAACCTGCCAACATCAGTTGATGTGCTATCTCTAAGGCACTGTTGTGTAGTGCACACTTTGACCACCTGAGTAACCTGGACTACCATGACTTGGATGTAAATCCAACACGAGCTTGCACTAGTTACCAATGCTTTTGTTTACCACTCACCGCTGAAAAGTCAGAATTCCGGCCCAGTCCGCATCATCTGTCCCCTATTAGTTCACTTGCATCACCAGTGGTGCAAGGTACTTCGGACACACGACCATACGTCTGTCAAAGCGGATAGGGAAACAGTGCTCAGACTTATAACAATGTGGGGCGGCTGGGAATGTCCACGGCTACATCTTGAAACACATAATAGGCAGTGGATATCAGGTAGAGACGAATGACGCTTTCAAAGGTGTGTATGTCCCATTAAAATACAACCCAAAAGAACTCGGAAAGTGCCCACTGGTCACGGCGGAAACAATCGCAATCAAGCGGCTAGAACCGGAATTATGCAAACAACGTGCACTTGTGCGAATTTTAACTACAGTGGAGCTAGCCTCGTCAGCTAACTTTAGGGATGTTGGTATGTTGCAATGAGTTTAAATTGGTATTGATTCCAACCGTCCATTCTGTCGAAGCACACGTCAAATCGCGGAATTACTAGCAATATCTTTGTTCCAATGAGTGTGTTTGCCATGATTACATCTGCCTGATGAGATGATTAACCGAGAACCAATTGCTTCCTAATACTCTTTTTGACTGCACAGTGGGCAAAATTTATGAGTTAGGTATGAATCATCAAATGTGTACACATTCGTGGGTGCGGATATGAGGTCCCCAATCATATGTACATATTATTAACTGAAGCCAACACTTGAGTTTACAAAGGAGAACTGCGTGATATTAGTTGCACAGTACCAATAAGAGTGAGCGAATGACACCAATTAGTAGGATGCAATCAACTGCTTATCTTCAAATATGCCGACATAAAAATAGCGTTTTACCCTGACATGGACAGAGAGGAGCATCTGGTGACTAACGTAACAAGATAGTACATTTTTCCACGTAAATATTATCAGTGTTAGTACCTACAAGATCATGTGCAGCAGAGACCAAAGTTCGCTGTGTGACATTTGACCGCGTTAGCACACTAATTTTGTAAGCATAACTAAAACCCACCAGCGTTACTTTCTCCAGACATAGTACGAGTTATCTTTAACGTTCTTTGTATCTGCTTCAGTGGAATTGTGCTAGCAGCGAACGAACTGCCACACTGTTGCGGAGTTACCAGAAAACGTGGTCGTGGGTAGGCGCAGACAGGGATAGGTGGGTGGGTGAAGGCTGATTGACTGAAACTGCTTTGCGTGGGAAGTTGATGCTTGCTGAATTCGAGGGAAAGCGACGGTTTCCATTGGCTTAGGTGCATACAGAGTAAACAGATTTGCAAAGGTGTAAACACAGCTTGACCAGGATCATGCTGACGCAAAATTCTCGGTGTTGAAAAAATTGATTGACAGCCTCGGTGGTACACCAGCTGCTTTAACTAGGCCACTTGTTCGTCCCAACTTTCGTGACCAGGACAGGCTCCACTGGCGACTCACGTTGTGCTTGTCACATCCAGAATACTCTACATTCCTGTTCGCCGTGAGCTATATCTTTGTAAAAGATATATAACCTGGAACTCATCCTTTAACTCTGTTTACAATTAACATATTATAAGAAAATATTATTCTACCCGGAAAACGATTAGATGGAAGCTATGAATCGGTTTTGATTGTTCAGTTCAGTTCAGTTCATCAACTATGATCCGAGCACCGAAGTGTGTTGGATCCAGTTGCCATGACTCACACCGTAAGAAGTACGGTAAATAACCCCGGTAGGATGGTAGGGTTGGGTTCAAATCGAATGTATATAACATGAAAAAAGAAGAAAATACTTTAGACTAATCCAGATGGAACGTAAATTAACAACCCGTCGAAAGAAGCCCAATTCATGAAGGCCACAGACTTCGTGACTGCTCCATGTCTGATACGGTCTCCAATCATTAGTGTGAAGCGTCTCGTAACCCCCATCCAGGAAGACAGCACACACCAATCTGACCAAGTCTCCCAGATAATTTCTTCAAGGTTCTATGCCACGTCATGGACTGACCACTTCGAGGTTGTGCTCAACTTGGTGCAGACACGGCGCATAATGCACCCCTAGAAAGCCGATCAACGAACATACAGAGTACTTGACTTAGTCAACACAAGCGACTAAGATTTAGCAAAACACTCGAATGGGGTACCAACTAGAGGACCTCGACATTGCTCACCCAGAGTTCCCAGCAAACGTAAGCAATGCTTCGCAAGTCCCGGTGCTCAAACACGGCCAAACGTTTAATACCTTCGCCGCGACTGGCCAGGTCTCTGATCCATCCAGTACAATCAGCCTTACAGCATCGTTATACACCCTACCTTTCACAGACAAGCTGACATCGCGCCGTCTCCATAGATTATTGAGCCTCTGGAAAGCCATACGAGCCTTGCTGATACGCAAGTAACCACTTCTTTGATATGACCACCAAAGGTGGTACAGCTACCAAGCTAAATGAACTGGTACACAACGTCCAGTGGATGTTCGGAAATAGATAAAACCGGAGTTGCGTCGGCCCAGTCCTGCAGCAATACTTTGCAGTTTGTGGGTGCAAAGCACATACACAGGCGTGCCACGTTCCGCGTCGGTCTATCCCGTATTGTTTACATATCCAACGCATCGTTCGCATACTCCGGGTTTGTCAGTCTCCTGACAGAACTTCCACTCTGGTAGAGTTCTCAAGAGCGGATTCACTCATGGTCATTTCGACCACAATGTGCGAAAGGAAATGAGAGATGGCATAAACCTGGCGAACCCATTCTGTCATGAAGAACTCAGGAGAGAGATTCTCGTAGACCCTTACACGGCCTCGGGAAACACGGTAAAGCGACTTTAGCATGGAAAGGAGTTTAGTTGGCACGCCCTTCATGGATATGCAGTGCCGTAATCTGGCACAGTCAAAAGAGTCGAAGGCGGCATTCAAGTCAAGGAAAACCACCATAGTCGGTCGTCTGTATGTGTCACTGTGTTAAAATTTAGCGAAGAGTAAATATATGGTCAATGCAACCGTGGTCAGGGCAGAAACCGGCCTGGCTTCCAGAGATTCGGTCCTCACGGAGACCACTAAGTCGTCGAAGTATGATAACTATAAGAAGTTTTGAGGCAATGGAAATAATGCTATTGCCTCGATGATCTTCGCACAATGTACGCTGACCATCTTAAATATGGCCACGACAATTGATGGTCGCCCATCTGAAGTCGCTTCTTCAGTATCCCAAAGCTTGTTAGAAAGAGAAGCAAGTTCAGTCAACAATGAGTCGCCACCAGAAAGACATTTGGATGTTGCTCCTCCCAACACTGGCCCACCACGACCGAGGTTTCGTCCTGGTTTTGACTCATCAGGTAGAGATAGCCTGAGCTGGGGTGGAACTCAGAGCCTAGTAGTTCACGGCTGACGCTCTGAACACAATGCTACTGAGATCCGTGAGCGACGCTTGGCACAGCATACTCGCTAAATTCAACTTTGAGTCACCATCATCATTCATCAAAGATGCGGGAAGGTCGTCGCGTTCCGGAGCGTTGTTTCCTTTCAACACGGTGAACTCATGTCGAAGCTATTCCCAATTGGGAGGTGTGATATCTGCTTCCCACGTCGGCTCAGGTAATTCTGCGGGCGGCACTGTCTTAACACGCCTGTTTAACTGCTGCTCAAAATGTTCCGCGCAAAGGAGTAGTCGACGACGCTGAGAAAGGATCAAAAGTCCATCTTTCACAGTTTTTATCATACTAACTGATGGCTTTCTTTGACCCGTGTTCCGGATGAGCTGGAATTTCACCCGGCTGTTTCGAATAGCGCTGGCCTTTGCAACCCACCAACGTTCGCGGTCAACTCGAAGAATCCTTGTCAGACGTCGTTTCAGGGAGTTACGGAAATGTTGAAATTCAGTGCCTATTGAAAAATGTTTACGCGTTTTGACCAAACTGATCGATGGTCCAGAGATCCATTCACAGTTACAACGGCTCAAGTATGGGGCACAGCATGCGTCAAAGGCATTTTTCATAGCACTTGAGGCGATCTC